GAAGCGACACCTACTGAAGATCAGCGAAGAGTGGTGCAAAAGAGGCAGACTTCACAACTCATGTACATACATCCAGGGTGAGAAAACATAGAAAGTGATGGGTAAATAAATTATGATAGTATTTAATGATAATGTGAAATCGTGTCCCTGATTTACCACTAGATTTGTACACATTATTAATTGCAAGAGACAGAGGAGGGAGGAAGAACGAACTACGGGAAGTCCGTTTTTCTTTAAGGGGTGAACTGAAAAGAAAAATTGTAAGGAAAGGTCTTACCCAGGATTCTGAACTTGTTCACGAAGGGTGCGGACAGCGTCGTCGTTGCTCATATCTTCAAATGAGATGCCATTGACCTCGAGGATCATGTCACCGGGCTCTATGCGACCATCCTGTGCTACGGCGCCGCCCTTCATGATGGAACCAACGTAGATACCATCGTCGCCCGACTTAGTAGACTGGCCCACAATGGAGATGCCCAGAAAGTTCACCGAGTCCATATTCAGTGTTACTGTTATTATATTCAATGACATTGTTGAGTCGGTTATGCTGCTAAATGAAGATGCCTAAGAATTAAAGAAAAAGAGAAGAGTGTTACAATCAAGCTTGCCTTGATTCCATTCAGGATTTTTACAACTGGTCCCTTTTGGAGAATAAAATGCAAATGGACAAATGAATTCAGTTCTTTTGGAAAAGGATAACAGGTTCGACCAAGGCAATTTTGGTCTTCCTATACTTAGCCTTTTAAATAACTGTGAGGGGGAATTAGACTAAAATATGTTCGCAACATGTAGAATCAAGTTTGACCATTTGTTGGAGGGTATATAGAAATAACACTGTCAAAGTTGGATAACATCAATTCCAGGGATAAAGAACAAAAATGTGCGCCATTTAAGCCAATAATGAATACCATAATACTAAAAAAAACTCTTAAGTCCCACGGAAAAGATTCGTTCAAATTATGGCACAATGAAAGTAATTGGAAGAGGAGAAAGAAGTAGGAAGTTTCGTGAATCCCGAGGGGCAAGTCACACGGGTGAGTCGGCGTAGGCAATCTAATGAATAAGTGATGTGTTGATTGAATCTTGACACGTGAGGAGTAAAGGGGTAGCAGATTAAGCGTATCTTTTCGCATGGTAGAACAACAAAAAATAATATGGATCCACAAAATATATGAAGTGGAAAGAAAACTGGCATCGAATACGATGTGCAGCAGAGGAATGGCAAAAACTAAATTCATAATAAAACACAATGGGGTAAAAATACCATTGGAAGGAGAGAAAAAGAGCAATAGTTAGAAGTAGAAGAAAATAGAATGAAAAAGAAATTTAAAAAATCGCTTACAACAGAATCACAGAAACATTCCAATCGCCTTTTCTCTCAACCTTATCAATAACCACAGAAAATTGAAAAGGTTTGATGAGGCCTTGGAATATCAACCACAGACATCCTGTCCAAAATTTAATTATAATAACAAAAATAGAACAAAATTTAAAGAAAATCGGTAGAACCAACAAAGATTTTGCATATAAGGAGCACAAGGAAAACGCCATGAAATGAAAGCGAATTACATCGCACTTCAAAATAAAATAAGGGCCGAGGAAATTCGCACCCACAATCAATTCAGCTATTTAATACAGAAAAAAAGCAAACTGAAAAGCAGCTTTCTTTGTAGTTTACCAATAAGGTGCACAATATCACTGTGCGATAACATTTAAGTAGTGAAATCGATCATACGAAGCCCAGTAAATATCAACATCAGCATCGTCACAACCACCATCACTTCCACTACTACTTCCCACTCACTCACATCTACATTCGATTGCGTCAGAGGTCCACAATAGCGGCTGTGGTGTCTGATGTAGCTCAACACAACGCCTTACTAAAACCCGCAAAGCATTGTCATCCGTTTGCATTTCCCAACACACATACGCGAGCTCTTCCCCACCCACTTCCAGCTCCCACTGTGGTGTGGACACGTCGGTTCTGCGAGACTGCACCATGTGCCAGTCAACTTGGCGCAACCACATTTGGAGAAGGTCCCGCCAAACATCCTTCAGCCACCTTGATTTTGCTTGTGAGGCACGGATTTCTTCATCACGAGGAGGTGCATGTCTCTTGAAAACGTTTAACGGTTAATGGACTAAGCACAGCTTCCGGTGACACGCAGTATAACCAACAAAAACGCTGTTTCCACCTCCGTCAAACGAGGCAGTGGAGATCGGCAGTGGTGGCAGCTAAGCTCATGACTGCTGTCCACACGCACCAACAGGAGATGGGGACAGCTATCTCCAAACCCCGCTGACTTGCTTTCCACTCCTCCCTATTCGGCCATAGAAAGGCCACACACTTTGGCTGATCTGGCGACAGACTGACATGTGGTGAGATGTGACCCACGTGTTGCCCCTTTCGATGAGC